TTCGCTATTTAAACTACTGTCCTTAACTTCCAGACACGTTTTTTTTTAATAAATATTAAATATTTAGTGGCTGTTTATGGAAGATATTATTATAAATACACATTCTACTTGTTAATTTAACACTTTAGTGTGCGCGGCACTAGCTGGAAAAAAAAGCGGGTTGTGCGCGCGGCGTTCTGGGCGCTCAAATGTAAACACAAAAAAGTTTATAATCTTTTCACGCTCCTAACATCAATTCTCGAGCTACGTTTTTCATTTTGGTATCAATGCGTTGGCAATAAAATTCTCTACAAGATCATATGCATAAAATGTCACCCAAGCATTTGGTATCCCACCACGAAGTAAATAAACACGAAGATGACTCGCCGTGACACCCAAACAGGAAGTAAATGTTCATACTCTTTCGTTTGTTGCCAGCTTCGCAGTCATCCTACAGCGCTCATTTTGATATCACTGAACTCGCAATAAAATTCCCCACCCAGACATATGCCTATCAATGTCTAATTATGGTATCGGGTGACCCGCACGAGTGTGGGAACTGGGCGAAGCGTTAGCCGTGATTTCAGCAGCGACGACACTGGTGTGATGCAGCGCTTTGAATGTTTATACTTATTTCACTGTCCTGACATTATTTCTGGAGCTACGTATTTCATTTTTATAGCAATGTGTTTGCAATAGAAAGTTCTATAAGAACATGGGTAGAGTTGGCCAACACAGCGTCAAATAAATTTGCGGGGATTAAAATCTTACGCGTGTTTGTACCCGTGAGCGTCAAAAGTTTTTACTTTGCTCATGTTTTTCAAGTTTATACTTGTTTCACACCGTTTTTTTTTTTGTATAGTGTTCGGAATAAAATTCGCTACACAGACATATGCATATCAAATACAATTCCTTGGAATTCACAGCTGTAGAGATGACGGAAAACACACAACCGGAACCCGCTCTTGACACTCCAACTCACACCCGCAACACCCACAAAAAAAGTTTCTCTTGTTTCGTGTATACTTACTTTAGTTTTCGTGCTACAGTTCTCATTTAGGTATCAAAATATTCCTAAGAAAATAGACTACAATACTGAAACAATCTAAGACAATTATGTGTACTTACCAAAGCAAAGACAATTGTAGTAAAATAAGTTGAGCATTTTATCTCCACTCCACCTCCTTCAGGTACTGATTCCTGAAGTTGCTCAACAGATGTTCCTAGGTGGAGTGAAGCTGGTGTGGGTGGTTATTTCTTGTCCACCCAATACACCCTTTTCCTGTGATAAGTGGTGTAACAAGGTATGACGCAAAGTGGAACATCGCATGTCTTGCACGCTATACCAGTTTCCTTCCTGATACCCGACTTTGAACACACTTCACACCTGCGACGTTTGGGGATTTTTACCAGCTCATGTTTCAATTTATAGTTCAGGCGAGTCTCTGCTATAACAACACGTCGCTGTTGTCTCTGGGTTGGCAATAAACTACTGTCTGAATCGTCGCTCTCACTATTGTTTTCAAACACTAATGTGGAATATTAGCCATATTTATCAGTCTCCGTGGTGTAGTGGTAAGACACTCGCCTGGCGTTCCGCGAGCGCTATGTCATGGGTTCGTATCCTGGCCGGGGAGGATTTACTGGGCGCAATTCCTTAACTGTAGCCTCTGTTTAACGCAACAGTAAAATGTGTACTTGGATGAAAAAACGATTCTTCGCGGGAGGGGATCGTATTCCAGGGACCTGCCCGAAACGCTACGCGTACTAGTGGCTGTACAAGAATGTAACAACTCTTGTATATATCTCAAAAAAAAAAAAAAAAAAAAAAAAAAATATGAATTACCTTCATCAGATTCAGCTTCAGCACTAGGTGTAGACGTGAAGAGAGGGTGCCTTACACCCGACGGGCCAGGTGTTGACGGGTCAGCAGCAGGATACACAGGACCAGTGTCATCATTTATGTTTGGAGCATGAACTAGATGTGGAGATGGTGTAGTTGTTGCAGGCCACTCTGCCTTGTCAAATTTCAATAAAGACCAAATAGCAACTTCATGGAACTGGAGCAGAGTTAGTTTCCTTCGATCATCTGTGTTGGCCTTGTACAATGCATAAGCGTTTTGCAATGCCATTTGCAAGAAATAAAATGTTATTTTCTTGTGACACTTGTGACACAAGTGTCACAAGTTTTCTTGTTTCTTGTTTTCTTGTGGTCCACTTGTGACATTTCCTGGCGAAATGGTGTATACTTTACCATTTGATCAAAGTGGTCAACACCCTTCATGAACTTATTGTAGTCAACAATTGCCTGTGGTTTGTTCACCACAACCTGCTGTAGTCTTACTGTTCCATCTGCCCTGCAAACTCGTTTTCTTTTCTGAACTTTCTTTGTGTCTGCATTGTGTAGGTTGGGCGAGGGGAGAGCCGAGGGGAGGCCGAGGGGAGAGAGATCCGATCGCTCTACGTGACAACAAAACAATGGGCCTGTCACGTGACCTAGTAGGCCGACGTGACTTGCGGCCTACCCGAGAGAACGGGAATTTCATGGCGCGGAGTTTGAAACAAACCCCAAGTAAATCAGATTTAAACTGGATTTTTTACAATATTTTAAACCGCACCGTAGATTTACGTCGTGATCCGACAAGCGGTTAGGGAAAACGCCCGTAATTCCAAGTCGAAAATCCAGGAAAGTGTTATTAATATCACCAATTAAATTTGCGACAATTTGAGCCATGAAGTGTGACAACTGGATCACTGTGTACAAGAGGCTGCTATGGCAGCAAACACTCTCCAGGCGACCATATATCTTGGATAAGTCGCTCCACAAAATTGTCGCTTGGACCGTCGACTTCCTATGGCGTCACCTGCCACATATTTACTTCTAATTTCGCTATGAAATTAGATTATTTCAGAGTAAAAATAGGTTTGTTCACGTTCTGCGTGTAGCACCAACATTATAGTAAGTAAATATACCACATTTCTTCATTACTTACGTAATGCTAGGAGGATTTGGGTACATTTGGGCAATTCTATGGACCGCTTCAGGGTGATGATGCTCACTTTTTTTTTTTTTATAAAAAAGGCCGTGATGAGGGTTCGAACTTACATCCAGGATGATCCCAGACGGGCCTTAATCGACTGAGCCACGACATGGTCATGTCGGTCTCCATCTCATGTTGGCCTTGGAATGCATAATAGTGCTGATGAGTTAGTCAAAGAATCTGCCTTTACAGGAGAAATTGAGTATAACCTTGGATTGTCAATAAGTCTGAGAGCAATCGTACACCAAGAACTTCAACAAAATCTTGTAGATCTGAGGCAGTGAAATTGACACCAGTAATTCCATCTGTTATCATACCATCATGAAAGAGGAGCCACACATCTATGGATCATCCAATAAAATCAGCAAACATCTAGATGTTACTACTGCTCAGCTTAAACTCGGTTACAACTGGTCAGTCTAATTACCACAAGCTACACAAGCTTCACAAAGCTTCCTGGCAATACGTTAGTAATGAATAAATATGATATATTTACTCATTATAATGTTGGTGCTGAATGTACTACACAAAAAAACATAATTTTAATCTGAAAAAGAATCTTTTTATAAAGAAATTAGACGAAAATAAAGAGCTGGTGACGCCAAATCAAGTCGACGATCCAAGCGTCGGTTAGGTTAGGTTAGGTTTGATTTGGTTAAGTTAGGTTAGGTTAGGTCAGCCTAACCTAACATATCATATTTATTCATTACTAACGTATTGCCAGGAAGCTTTGTGAAGCTTGTGTAGCTTGTGGTAATTAGACGGACCCGTTACAAGTGTTTCTGGAAATTCTCATTATCTGCTGATGTAGACCTGACCAAATGTAAACTGTCAACAAAATTATTCGCACACCGTCCGTCACTATGTGATGGAGTGCGAAAAGATACGTGAATTCTGAGACAATTCTATAACAAATGTTCCAGAGATGTGTAAATATTTCATTCAAAATTATCTGCCACCAGAAATCTTAGCCAAATGTCCCCAGTTTGCTAACTGTAGGTAGTAACTAAGTGATTGTAACCTATCCTCTGCTGCCCACTGCATTTGGGGGGAGTGCAGGACAAACATATCAATTGTGACACTAGCCCTCCACATATGTCAGTTGCTTAATTTAAAAACTGTACTTGTGATCGGTCTCGAGCCCATTGTTGATTTAATGATGTACACTGAATTTTGTAACAAGATTATCAAGATTGCAACTTGCTTAGCTAAATGAATTGTGGGATTTAGTCCCTGAGCCCATTATGTGCCTCTGTAACCCTTTCCACTACTGTCCACAAGATGGGTATGGGGTGCATAAATGAACTAAACTAACTCCTTGTTTTTCTTAGGAGGAAATTTTTAGGCTCTGTTTCAGTCTCCAGATGCAATTTTTACCAGTTGGGGTCTGTTTTAGGGGCACCATTCTTTCTGGGTGCCTAATCCCGGTCAATGGCAGACATGAACATACTCTCAAACAGTGGGGTTTTTATTGGCCATTGCTCCCTGCGCCTCTCTGAGGAAACCATGTTCTGGCTCATGGTTCCCGATAGGCTGACAACTCCATATGACTAAAGCCCCCGAACTAATAAAGCTAATATCAGTCCAATAGTTCCAGGGAGTCGACAGGTTCCCTTCAGAAATAAAAGTGTATTCATAATAGATTATGCATGGCAATGAACATGTGAATGTTTATTAATAATAATTGGATGATGAGTTTGAACATCATCAGAAGGTTTACTGACAGTATGAATGATGTATTTTAGCATAATCGGAACACAGAAGTGTTAACAAAGGATAGCTAACATCCCTCCACCTCCATTTCCATCACCGAATCCGGGTTAATAAATATGTTAATATAATAAATTATAAATGTACAATTGTTGATTAAATATTTTGTATAATTCTGATTATTTTATGATAATTTTGAGTTATATAAATCAACATAGTATTGGTCTTATTAACTTATCTACTAAAGGAAAACCTCATAAAAAGTCTACAAGAATGTATCATATTTATGATGAAGCCATACAAGTATTAAGAAATCTTATAAATAATAGATAAAGATAAAAGATAACCACAAAAATATATAGAACTATAAGAACTTTAATTACTATAGCACCTGCATGATTGTTAAAGTGAATGAGTGATCTTCAGTGTGCATTAAGACTCTACTAACATTCATAATTAATTTAAATTTTTTCACATTGTAACAAAGTCATCAAATACCACATGCAATCTTTTGATATATAAAATACATTCTAGTTCAAATCAATGAGAATATATTGAGGCCATATGATGGGGTCAAACCCACATTCCTGGATTCTCCAGGTACACGCACAATCGAATGGACAATGTGGGTTTGATTCCGTCGTACAACTTCAATATTTTCTTTGATACACCATGTACTTGTGATTTCAAATCACTATCTAAGAGTATTAAGGCAATTTGTTAAACGAAAACAGTACTTCACTAATAGGGGAATGTTTTCTTGGAAATGTTTCTTCTTTGAAAAGATCATTGATAATATGTACATGAGAGTGCTTCAGACGGGCCAAGTGCTGCATGCCAGCACAATTCACCAGGTCCATAGAACACAGCTTGTGGTATGGTAGAAAGCCTCTTTTGCCCATGATTAGTAAAAAGACCAATTATTATTACAAGCTATTCAAGTACTGTATTCCATGATTGGTCTCATTTACTCTTCATGTATTATGATAAAATATTAACTTATTTTGTCAAATACATAACAATAAAAATCAATAATGGTAATATTTCGGTGATCTGCAGAAACCAAGGAGGCAGGAAAGGGCTCCCAATTTCATTAGTACATTTTCATCTGATAAATGCAATATCAGTAGCACATGACATCATCAGTCTGTCATCATTAGGAGGAAAAGTAACCTCATGGAATGAAGCTTTGTTTTTCTTACTATGCTTCAGAATACAAGCATAATTTTTTACATCTTGATCACCTCCACTACAGTCACTTGCAGTCAGAAATAGTAACATTAATCTCCTTGCCTTTGGTGACATTGACTTTGGGATAAAATATTAAATCTAGTTCTCATAGTACTGTATACCATACATTATTAACAGAAACCTAAGAGACATGTTCTTGAAGTTTATCAAACACTCAAGCAGCGGTATACACTTTCACACACTCATATTCTACATAAGTTATGACTAGAACACATTAGCATCATCGTATATTAAGTACAAATGGAGTGATGTCATAAGATGTAAGTGTCATCAAATGTTCATATCCCTGCGCTTCGGCGTCCGGAAACTCATGTGTAGGGAGTTACCCCTCATGAAAGGCGCAAGAGCTGACATGTCAATGTTCTTACGTCTGGGCAGTGTCAGGTCGCAGCGGAGCACATCCTCCCCCTCATCCTCCACAACACACTCATTGTCCAAGGTTTCATGGGCAAGGTCCAACCTAGAGAGAGTAAGATTTGTCCTTGATCCTCTAAGATCTGTTCTTGAGGCTCGTAAGTCACTTTTGGATGCTCTTAAGTCTGATTTTGAAGCACGTAGATCTGATTTTGAAGCTCGAAGATCAGGTCTAGAGGCTCGAAGATCAGGTCTAGATGCTCGAAGATCAGGTCTAGATGCTCGAAGATCTGGTTTTGATGCCCTAAGATCTTGCCTTGATGCTCTTAAATCAGCCTTAGAAGCCCTAAGATCAGATTTAGATGCTCGTATATCTGATTTTGAACCCCTTAAATCAGATTTTGAAGCCCTGAGATCTAGTTTTGATGCTCTAAGATCAACTTTTGATGCTCTTAAGTCTGACTTGGAAGCATGAAGGTCATTTCGAGAGCCTCTTAGGTCAACTTTAGAGCCTCTAAGATCAGTCTTTGAGCTTCTAAGATCAGAATTGTTTGGAACTTTTTTCACAGTTAGTTGTGTAATGGCTCGTGAAACAGAGCCATTACACAATTTCTCCCATGGTTTTGTAACTGAACATAAAGTAGCTGGATCAAATTGGTTAACAGAAGGCCTACGTCCCCCAAGATCAGCATAGTCATCCCAAGACACTACACTGGCAGCATCACCACCATCATATGATTCCGAGTGACATAATCGTTGACTTTCAACACGTGATTCTTCACAGTCATGACAGGAGACTCCACTATCTACATCAGAGTCTCGTGTAAGGACTCCTTCCTCAATTAATGGGCGTTGAACTTCAGCCACTGGTCTGACAATGTCATGAAGATGTTGTGCAGCTTGGTGAAGGTACCTAGGATCATCGAGGACCAGAGATGCACGCCTGGTAGCCCGCACAGGCTGGTGTTGGCGCAAAGATCGTAGTGTCTCCTCCATATCAACACTAAAATGGTGACCTTTGTTGCGCTGCCTTCGAGCTAGCATAGAAATACTACTCATTGCCATTTGTGGTCTTCCATGCTTCTGATGCTGCTGCTGTTGCTGCTGCTGCTGGAGTTGTTGGTGTTGTTCTTCTGGGATGGTACAGTGACAGAGTGGTGGGACCACCAGGGAGCTGTATCCTTCAGTGAATGTTGGACTGCTGCTGGAGTCACTGGAATAGGCAGAGTCTGCATGGTCAGTCTCAGGCAATGGGTACAAGTGCTCATTGGAGGCAGGAAATGATGAACGATAATCACAGGAGTCAAAGACATGGTAATTCGTTGACTCTTCCTCTTGGTTTTCATAAGACTCTGTACTGACAGAGGGGCGAAGAGGTGGCAGCGGTGTGGTCATCCAGGTGTGGCTAAGACAATCATCTACTGTCATTCTGTCACTGAAATAAATACCTTTCATTGCAAATAATGAACAAATCTCAATACTGTACTGTATAAAATTGTATAACAATATTACAAAGCAATATTTAATAATTAATAAAATAAAGATTAGTGATAAATCTTTGATATATATAATTCATTAATTTATTTATTGGACTATGCCTCATTAGACAATGAGGCATAGAAAGAGGTGTGCAGATTTTGGGAAGCTTTGGTGGAATGAGAGCCACAGCTATTGAGGGTAGAGTAGGGAAAGATGGGCAGAGTAGGAGAAGGTGGGCAGAGTAGTGGAAAGTGGGTAGAATAGGGAAAGGTGGGCAGAGTAGTGGAAAGTGGGCAGAGTAGGGGAAAGTGGGCAGAGTAGTGGAAAGTGAGGAAATTAACATTTATGAGATGGCACTGGAACAGGATGGGAGAAAAAGCACTTAAATAGATTTACTATGTTCAAAAACTTTAAAGAGGATGACTAGGAGAGTAACTGAATTGCAACAGAACACTGAAAGGAATGAGACACATACTCAGTATGGATGGATATATGGAAACACTTTAATGAGGTGGGTGACAACTGGATGAATATATGGGAATAGTCAGATGAGGTGGGTGAATGGATATATGGGAATACTTGGATTATATTTTGGGTGGGTCAGAAATGGTTGGGCACATTCCATTCACCTAATGCCTCTGTTCACCTGGCAGAAAGTAGGTACTCAGGAGTTAGTCAGCTTGTTGTGGGGTTGCATCCTGGGCAGAGTCAGTAATTTGACCTTTGGGGGGGAGGGGGCACCACCACCCTCATTGTGCCACCCTTGTGTAATGTTAGGCCTAACATGTATGAATACACTCTGACTTCCTGTCCCCTGACACAATGAATTATCATTATATATATGGGGGGATCACAATGGATGGATATATGGTGTGAGAGTGGTCTCTCAGTTTCCACCTCTGACTTCAAGCTGCACAATGCTGCATATGCAATGTGAGTTGGTAATATAACCCTATGCACTCACAGTGTACAGTAATGCACACAACTGCTGGCTTCCTTAGTATTGGATTGAGACCTGCCATGTTTGGACTAATGAGAGCCCATGACATAAGCAGCATTTTGATGTTATGGAAGCCACCATAGGTCCAGTCAATATGGAGATAGTGGAGGAAAGTTGTATTTCCTATATAAGCGAGCAGCAGATCCACACTATTTTGGTCAATGTTGACTGTGGTATATTGCTCCAGATGATCATAGTGGATTATCATGTATCAGGTCAGCCATGGCTGCCTTAGCAGGCCAAGACGCTGCTATGATGTAGTCATGACGTCACCAAGCCAACGTGATCTCTGGGTTAGCACATCTTTGTTGATCTCTGGGTTAGCATATCCTATGCTGTTGTATAGAGATTCTCTGATTGGTGGAAATCAGAGACAAAGTCCTGGAAAACTGGAGTATTGTGAGCTGTCACCCAACCTTCATTTCCGCCAGGACTGCTGTTAATATAAGACATACTGGGTAGAGCTATCTGGACAATAGCTAAACCACATCATCTAAGTCCTCAGGCAATGTCAAGTTAATTCAACTGTTCGTAAAATGATCTGCAAGTGGCAAGGAATCCTGCAGCGCAAATATTTTAGGCAATCACAGTGTAATTTGAAAAAAAAATTAACAAGAAATTATGTTGGTACATTTCAGATGCAGCAGAGTGGAGTGCCTAAGTCTATGTTAATTTATCTAAATGATCATTAAAATAACTGACCAATAAAATTAACCCAGTTTGCAGTGCAATTTATGCCAAGTGCAGGGGAAAAAGATTAAAGCATGTAAAGCTTAAATATGTCTGAGAGAAGATACCAGTAGATAAATTCTAGCCATGACTGTGTCTGCCATTCATCCTTGTGTGAGCCACTGACGTATCAACCATTTATGCTAACCACATGTGAACTTATGTGATAAACTGCACATATCAATAGTGAAGCCTGCACCTAGCATAAAGACTTAAGTCACAACCCATTGCCCTACTGAACATGTGTCACCTCGTTGCCGAGAGCACTTCTCATGCCATCCCTGCGCAGACCAGCCATATTGTATGTCCAATGCCAGCCACCATGTGTGTGAGTGATTTTGCAAAAGATACTACACACATGGTCAATGCAAGTTGACGAGACCAGCATGCCAGCCCACTAGCGAGCTGCCTCAAGGAACTGACCATTTAGATCTACATTAGCTGAACAAGTATGAGGTGCGAAAGCCAATAAGTATACTGTAAGTATTGGAACTCTATCTTGATTTACTGTTCATGCTCATCTCATTGCTCACCTGCAATGGGAGGAGGTTGAGTGTAAGTTTAACGGTGATCAAGTGATGTTACATCATTCAGCCAGGAAGGTGATTGTGTATGTAACACATACCACATGATCAGTTTATGTGTATGTCATTACTAGTGTATACTTTTGCATGTCATTAAGTGTTCCTGAGTATCAAGAAGGAACTCACCCAAGTCCCATGCAACTGGCAGTGATAGGATAGCAGAGTCCTGGTGACTGGCTGTCCTTAAGTGTTAAGACAGGATTGCTGACGTATGTTGCTGCTTAATCAATCAGTGAGAAGTCCAAGTGTCTCTGACACGATATTAGCTGTTGATGACATTAATCAGTAAATTAAAGTTGCTCCCAGTGTAATAGTATGCAAGTTCTATACCTGAATTACCTGATTTTACCTGAGTAAATCAGGTTGGATTTAACCCTGAGTAGGGTTAGAGGCCACTAATCCTAGTGACCTCGATGAGGACAGGAAGTGAGACATGACAGGAAGTCATGTCAAAGGGGGTTTCTTTCCCCCCCCCCCCCACCATTTGCCTTGACAAATTTTTCCAGGTACAGTGTATTTTAAAACTAAAGACAGATTTGTCAGTTATGGCTTCGGTGGGTAGGCAGTTCCATTTAATAACTCTATGGGTGAAAAAGCATTTCCTGTTCTCAGTTCTACATTGTGGCTTGTGCTTGAAACTGTTGCTCCTTATTTGTGGTACATCTGACCTTTTAAAGAAATTGTCAGGATCACCATCCTCTAAATTGTTTAGTATTTTAAAAGTTTCAATGAGATCCACCCTGTCTTGCCTGGTTTGCAGTGTTGTTAGCCCTGTGACCCTCAACTGTTCCTGATATGAGAGATGACTTAGCCCTGGAATGACTTTTGTTGCTGGGTGTTGCACCTTCTCCAGAACAGCTATGTCCATTTGAAGATGAAGTCTCCATGCTTGGATACAGTAATCCAAATGAGGGCACACCAGAGATTGATACAGTTGAACCATTATCTTCTTTTCCCTAAAGTCAAAAGTATGCAAGATTATTCCTAGAGATTTTTTAGCTTTTCTGACTGCTGCACCCACCTGTTGTGCAACTTTTAATGAGTGGTGGGTTTTGACTCCAAGGTCCTTTTCTTCATCAATCTGCAGTAATGTAATGCTATTAATTTGGTAGTTGTGGCGTGGATTGTTATGCCCCACATGATTGGTCTTGCATTTGTCAATATTAAAAAGCATTTGCCAATCTTTTGACTATTTATGGATTTCATGTTCAGGCACCAATATCATTATCATTTCCCACTTTACCATAAATCTTTGTGTCATCTGCAAATTTGATGATGTGGTTTGTAATATTCTCATCTTTATATGACAAAAAGGGTAGGTCCCAAAATGGACCCTTGTGGCACACCACTTATCACATTTCTCCATTCAGATTCGTTTCCATTTAGCACGACCCTTTGTTTTCTTTCCTTCAACAATTGCTTTATCCATTCTAATATTTTATAATTTATTCCATGGGCCTGTAATTTCCTTGCCAGACTTTCATGTGGTACCTTATCAAAAGCTTTAGCAAAATCCATGTACAGTATACTACATCCACCGGAAGGCCTTTGTCTGAGTAGCTGGTTACCTTTTCCAAAAATGTGAGCAAATGTGTGTTGTATTGCCTTTCTTTCATTCCCTGGCAGGGGGAGTTCTGTAGCGAGTAATGTTTATACTCGCTCCAATATCTCATACTCAAATCCTTTCCCTAATTATAGGTAACACTCTTTCCATCCTGTTGGAGAAAGCTGAGGTGTAGTCACCGAATATAAGCAAGTGATATGAAAATAGCCAACAGTACAATTTCCAGTCAAGAATGTAGCACTCGGCGTATGCAGTTCTAATCAACCCCAAGATGCTACAGCTTCGACACAGAACAGACAGCAGACTAGGATCGGATCACGCTACAACCCTCTCCCACATAGAGCTCCACGATTCCGGCCTCACTCAGCTCTCTGCTCTGCTCCAAGCTCCGTCTCAACGTCTACGACACTACTGTATCCAAGACTACTAAATAAATATGAAACCCACTAAACACCGTGTATCTAATCTACTCAATAATATAATATAATCGTACGTTACATGTGTAGGGCAGGTTCTGTTTTTGAAAAACCCATGTTATGTCGACTGTACAAGGTTGTTCACTGAAGGATGGTGAATGATTCCCTCCCTAAGGATTCTCTCCATGAGCATGCAGATGTGTGATGTCAAGCTGATAGACCAGTAGTTTTATGCTGAGCTCTTTCTGCCTTTTTTTAAAATAGGGGTGACATTTGCATATGTTCAATCTAAAGGGCTACCCCCTTGGTCCAGAGAACTTGTAAAATGTAGTTTCAACAGTAGGCATAGTTCTTCTGCCAGTTTCTTTAAGACTTTGTATTGGATTCCATCTACAGCTGGGCTTTTGAGTCTTTTAGTTTGTCAATGTTCTTTCTAATTATTATGCATGTTATGAGTATATCCCTAAATTCATTCTCCTCTCCGCCTTCAAATATTTGTGTGGGTGATGGGATGTCATCCAACCTTTCAAGTGTGAACACTGATGTAAATTATTCAGTGTGTTTGCTGCCCTTTCATCATCCATTATAGCTTGGTTAGTCTCATCTATTAAGGGTCCAACTGAGTTTCTTTGTTTTGGTTTTACCTCTTATACAATGGGGACT